ACACAAGTCCTATAGCAACACTCCCCCCCCAAAAAAAAATGAAATATACACCCATCAATGCAGTAGTGCCGTCTGGACTCATCTCTGTGTGTAAAACATTTCCCTTTCACAATTAATTACAATCCACATCCAGCTGTTTGATTTTGATAATTAGTTAAAATCTAAATCCTGGTGGGCATTCTGGATTGCCCAGTCTTGCGGTTAGACAATGAACCTCCACCAAGCCCTAGGAACAAGCCTAGAAGCTGATTTTGTTTGTTTCATGAGTGACAGACAGAGAGAGGAGAGAGACGAGCCCCCTCTACGGGGTCTCATACCCGATTCCCTTCCCCTCCCTCCCACATTCCCAGACAGTCAGGGTCACATGTGGAACCAAACCCCACCTCCCATGCGGCCTCTGGCATCTCAGACACTGTGCGACCCCCACACCACCGTGGTCAGCAGCTGATTTTTGAGTGGAGAACAGCTGTCAACAGACGAGGGCACAGCTTAATTCTAAAATTCTAGGGGTTTGTACTGTAAAACCCCTACTTGGAGTTTTCAGAGGCTCATTGTCCCCACTTGCCATAAACACTTCCAATATCACTGGGTCTCCTAAGTTATAAGGCCTAAATAGGAAAAACAAAACAAAACAAACAATAATGATACATTTAAAAAATTAAGAATTTTACTCTGCAGTCTGGATCTGGCGCTGAGCGTTTTTTACCCGAGGCCCCTTGTCAAACTGGTGGCCTATGGTTACTCAGTGAATGTCTTGGAGCAATAAACCTAGACGTACTATCCATTTAGAATCCAGAGGCATTATAAATACATACAACATTAACTCATACAAAATTCAAAGACATTTAAAACACTTTGCTTTTTCCCTCCTGGTGAGCAGTGCAAGGTGTGGCAACTTGACTGTTTTTTCTTTTCTTTTTATTGCCAAAGATTGTACGTACTTGCCAGAGAAAGAGAAAGTTCCCTCCAATAGGGTGTGGTCACACCACAATCCTTTTTCCTCCATTCCATCAGAATGCACACACACAGGCGCAGTGTGGTTTTCTGTCTTTCTTTCTTTCTTTTTTTTAGAGAGAGATATTTGCTAAGACATGTGCACTCACAGGAACAAAAGAGACAAAGAGACAGAAAGCAAGACATCACCCCCCCTCCCCAGGGGGATGATCACACTGCAATCTCTTTTCCTCCATTCTCTTCTTTGGGATTTTGGTCATGCACGCACATGTGCCTGGCTTGAGTTTGAAGCTTTCGTGTCTGGGACTTGAACCACGGTCAGCTATGTGGGAGTCCGGTAACATAACCATTAGGCCATCTGCTGGTCCCTTGGCCCCAGTGTGTTTTACAAGCCACCAGGGCCAGGACCTAAACTGTAGTTGGCCATGTGGAACCCTGCTCTCTTTGCACAGGGCTTAACTGCAACACCACGGGACTGGCCCTAGTCTGCATTTTAAAGGATTTCCTGACATGCCCAAGACCATTAGAGTATTTTTAAGGTTTATCTCCTCTCCTCTAGCATATTACAAAGATAATGAGGGTGGTTGCAACATTCTCACTGGTCACACTATATGATGTAATTAATATATCTTACTAGAAATCTTGGCCTTAGCGCCATTTTCTCGGACGCTTCTGCGCCACGAGAGCCAGGTGGAGGACAAAGTGATTGCGCAGGCTGAAGCATAAAAGAGGAAAGATGAGGCAGAGGTCCCAGGAAACAGCTTGTGCAACTGTGGAGGCCACAGCAGCAGAAACCGAATGTCAGAGGCTCGGGGCGCAGGTACAAGTTGAACTGCGAGATACTGTCCATTCTGTCTCTGGATCTAGAACTTCCACGGCCTGTGGATTGCCAAGACCTTTGAGAGACCACATTGCTCCTACCAAAACAGCCCCTGTGGTTCTTTTCCCTGGGACTAGTGCTGTTACTTGTGGCCGAGTGTAATACATGTACAATAAATCATCTCTTCTGTCATAGCTGAAGAATCAGGAAAAAAAATATATGTTTTCTGGGGCTGGTGGGTGGCATGTTGGTTAAGGGCACTGGACTCCCACATGGCCAACTGTAGTTGGAGTCCTGGACCTGGCAGCTTGCTTTCCTCACTTGCCTTCGCTGTCTCTCGCTCTGTCCCTCTCTGGTCAAATTAAAAGAAGTAAATAAATAAATAAATAAAGTTCAATAAAAAAGTCTTAAAAAAATACATCGTCTACATTATTTTGTGCAACATCAAGGTGATGAAAGTCCCAGGTGCCTTCTAGACAATATCGTGACAGAGAACAATAGAGTGGGCTTAGAGATGAACGTGCCATAAATTATGGGTAAAATAGTGAAGGTGTTATTACTGTCCTTGCTACAGAAAGCAAATTGCTTCTGATTATCTTTGATGTTTTTCTTCCTTTTTTTGGCACTGTAGGATGAGTGTACTTGCTAGAGACAGAGAGGAAGTGAAAAAGCACCACCCACCCCCACCCTCACCCCCACCCCCAAAGAGCTGGTCCATCCACAATCCCTCCTCCTCCATTTCTTCTTGGGATTTTGGGCACACACAGATATGCACCCAGTGTGTTTTCAAGCCACTAAGTCTGGGGTTCAAACTGTGCAGCCAGCCATGTGGGATGCAGTCTCCTTCACCACCATACCACTGGCTGGCCCCTGATCACCTCTGTAGATAGAAATTTAAAACAAAACACTTGTTGATAGTTGCACGTGAGGTGCAGTAGATGTGTTGAATGGCTTCAGTAAAGATAATGCATCTTGAGCCTTATTTACAAATGTGTCACGACTTAGCTATGTTACAATACTCATAATTATTGTCTAAGACCGTCAGATTTTTGCAGTGGCCTAACAGGCAACGTAACTGGTGATGTGGCCGAAACCATCACGCCTCTCTTTTTATGAGTATTTTACTCTTTCGAATTCCCCTAGGGCTGTGGTTTTGCTTTGGTTTAATAGCTTGGTATTTCTAATGACTCCCACTTGGGCTTTCCTCCCACAGCATGAAGCAGCCATTGCTGTCACTCCAGCTGCCCCACTGGCTGTGGTATCACATGGAGCAAATTTACGAGCCCTTGGGTACACGATGTGTAACCGCGAGAAATACAATGACAACTTTTCATTCTCTTTTCCTCTTTTTTTTTTTCTTTTTCTTTAAGCTGTAAGTTGAAACATTCTCAGATGTTTGGGGAGAAACATCCTCTTCAAGTGGATCCTTGTGCTTGCTGTCTGGGGAGGCGGTCCTGAGCAGGCAAATCATACGGCATAGACGCACATGTCATAGACGGGCTTCCCCCTCTCCCCCCCGCACCCTTGCCTCTTGGATTGTTGAGCTACTTTCCCCTTACTCTGCGGCACTTGTATAGTTAAGTTGGTTTTACTTGAATGATTCATGTTTAGAGGGAAAAATGAAAAACACTCTAAAATCTGTTTCAACTCCTTCTGAAAAAAAAAAAAAAAAAGGGACCAGCAGTTAGTGTAATGGCTATGTCGCTGGACTCCCATGTAGTCGACCGTGGTTTGAGTCCCAGACCCAGTGGCTTAAACTCATGCCGGGCGCGTGTACGTGCGTGCCCAAGATCCTGAGAGGAGAATGGAGGAGAAGGGATCGCGGTGTGGCCAACCCCCTGGGGCGTGATTTCTCACTTTCTGTCTCTCTGTCTCTCTCTGTCTTTCTGGCAAGCGCACGTGCCCTATAGCAAAAACCTCTTCAAAAAAATAATAATAAAATAAAATAATAAATGAAGTGGCAGACGTAAAAAAAGAAAAAAGAAATACAATGATGACTTCCAATTTTGTCTAAGGGCAACTTAAACTTCCCATCCTCTATTTTAATATAATCCAAAGAGATCCGGATTTCTCGGCCAGCCCACAAACACCACACTGATCCAATAGATCGATAAAACATCAATGTAGTGGAAAGGCCCAGCAGAAGTCACTGTCACATGAAAATGGAATCAAGCCTAACTAGGTCCAGCCCAAAACAACAGTGAGCTACTGAGGAAGGAGCCATGCCCCAGTGTCAACTCCCACGTTTGAACCAGTGTCTCTTCCTGGTTTGCCATTAAAGGAAGAGAAAATAAGCCCAAGCCTTGTCTACGGATGGATTACCATGGTACAGGTTAAAAACAAACAGTGGCTCTCTTATAGTCACACCGAGCGGTAGTTCTTTTTTTTATAGGGCGCATGCGCTCGCCAGACAGACAGAGAGAGACAGCGAGACAGAAAGCAAGAAATCAGCCCCCAGGGGGATGGCCACGCCGCAATCCCTTCTCCTCCGTTCTTCTCCTCTCAGGATCTTGGGCATGCACGCACACGCACCCGGCATAAGTTTAAGTCACCGGGTCTGGGACTCGAACTGTGGCCGACTACATGGGAGTCCAGAGACATAGCCATCACGCTAACTGCTGGTCCCATTGAGCGGTGGTTCTGTGAGGCGGTAGAAAGGGGACATCTCCCCAATGGACAGAGCTGTCAGCAGTGCAACTGGTTATTCGCTTTGTGTGTAAGGAGGAGTGGCCTGAGGTGAGGCTACAAAGAGATCCTTGGGCAGCAGCCAATGACCTGGCTATGTGGTTGGAGCTCTGGATGGAAAGGATTTGAAGATTAGAGACAAGGAGGTCTGAGACAGAGGCATGTGGGTGAACATATTTCAGGGAACAGCAAGTGCCAGCTCTCGCTGTGCCCTGACGGCAATCGGGACAGCTAGGCTAGAGGCGAGGAGCTCGATGGTTCAGGCTACAAAGGACATGCAGGTGCCATGGGCTCAGGCCAGGATTGAGCAAGAGCAGAGAGTGGGCTCCTCCAGGCCGGGGGTGCAAAATGGAGACATCGTCAATTCTGGGAAATTGGAGAGCAGCAAAGGGGTGTGGGACAGAGGGGAAAGAACAGACTGCACCCCTGACCCTCCTGTGCCAGCTCTCCATCCTCATTTCCTCCACGGTGAAAACGAGGAAGTCAGAAGAACTCCAAAAAAAAGAGAGAACGGAAGTAGACACATTCCGGGGGAGGAGAGCAAAGCTAGCCTCATGCCCGACTCCTCCACACTCCATCTCTGCCTCTGATCCGAACTCGACACATTCTCATTATCTCTCACTGTTCCACATTGAGGAAATGAGATAGCCCAGACTATAGGCTGCATCTCAGACAAGAGCAGCAGGACTCCGGCCACATGCGTGACCCCTCCTTTGGTCATAACCACACCCAATTCTCCAGAATTTACTTCTAAACCTGAAAGGCTCCCAAGGTCTAGTCACTGATGCACAAGGAACCCGAGTCACAGCCTCTGGACGATCCACAGGGAACAGGCCTGGTGAGGCAGGTGAGACCAAGGGGATGGGGGATATGTTACAGGAAGCAGCGGGGGAGGAAGGACTCAGAGCCGAGCAGGGAACTATATAAGGAAACCAAATGGAGATTTGAGACTATTCCCTTCACTGGATTTGCAAATTGAACACGGCAGCCACAAACCTCAGTCTCAAACTCAGCCCCAACTCCAGACCAATCTAGCCTAACCTTTAGCCCCAATTCCAGCCACAACCCTGACTCCAATACTACCTGCATGCCCCTACCTTAGCCCCAAACTCAGCTCTAACTCCAGATTCAACAAGAATCTTTTCTAGTTGTTGTTAGGTGGGTTTTTGTTTTTGTTTTTGTTTTGTTTTGTTTTGTTTTCTCCATAGAGTGTGTGTGCTTGCCAGAGAGAGACAGAGGGAAAGTGAGAGATCATGCTTGGGGAAATCACGCCTCTTCTCCTCCATTCCCCTCTCAGGACTTGGGGCATGCATGCACAGCAGTCAGTGTGATTTTCAAGCTGCCAAGTGTGGGACTCAAACTACACAGCCAGCCATGTGGGATCTGGTGCCTTACCCACCACACCACCTGCTGGTCCTTCAGCTTGAATCTTAACAGTAGCCCCAGTCCAAAATTGAGGGTCAATTCTATCCTATTTCTAACTTCTGTGTCAAGGTTAGGACCAATTTCATTAACAGATCACATGAAAACCGATTCCAATCCTAACAGAAGACACAACATCAAGTCTAATCCGGGGCCCCTGTCAGATCCAGTGCTGGCAACAAATAATTTAGCTCCAATCTCACCTCTAATTTCTACTCCAAACTCAGCCCAACCAAGCCCAAAGTCCAACCTGACCCTCGTGGCTACCTCAGCAGCAAGCCCAGGCCCATCTCCATGCTAGCCCTGGCCCCAGGCTCACTCTCCACTTGAAGCTCATCTCTTACTCCCATCCCTGATCTTGGCTCCAACCTATTTCCAGCATCCTCCTTTGCTCAGCTCTGCCCCAGCCTGGCCACTACTCTGCCTCATCTTTGCTCTGACAGATCCCTGTTGGCTCAAGCATGGAAAGGATATATGAAAATCTTCAGCACTTGGAGACTGAGGAGAAAAGCCAGGAGGTTAGAAATGGTGAGAGGAAAGGAGAAATGATCTCTCCTGAAACAGCCTCTTAATATGTCTAAGATTTCCATTTCTGGTTTGTTTGTTTTTTTTTTTTTTTGGAGAGGTTTTCGCTATAGGGCGCATGCGCTCGTCAGACAGACAGAGACATAGAGGCAGAAAAAGAGAAATCACCCCCCAGGGGGGATGGTCATGACGCAATCCCTTCTTCTCCATTCTCCTCTCGGGATCTTGGGCACGCACGCACACATGCCTGGCGTGAGTTTTAAGCCACCGGGTCCAGGATGCAAACCGCGGTCGACTATGTGGGAGTCCAGCGACATAGCCATTACGCTAACTGCTGGTTCCCTCCATTTTTGTTTTCACGTCATATCTGAATCTCTACCATGTGCAGAGGTAGGTCCTGTACTCTGAGGGGGGTCCCTGCACTCTGAGGGGGTCCAGGCTCAGTCTGCGGATTCAAGGTCCTCAGAAAGACAGACAGAGACCACAGAGACATGGCTTCCTGTGCTCTATAGGCATGGGAGGGGAGGTGGGGTTTGGAAGGGAAACTAATTTTCTAACCTGATGGTACTGACGACTGTGAGCCTGCTAAGGGCCTGGCTTCTCCTGACATTCCCTGTGTCACCCTGCCACCTCGCACAGCTCTGATAATAGGACCTTACACGATGCCTTCATCCTCTGTACGTGTGAGTGCCCTTGAGTGCCTGGACTGCGAGGTCCAGGCTCCGGGCCTCCCCACCCCACAACCCTCCCCATCTAGTCCTCCCCTCAGCATTACTTTCTCCCAGCTGCCATCCTTCGGCAGGTGCCTGGGCCCGCTCCTCCTGCCTGTCATGTCCTGGCCCATCCTCAGGATGCTCCCTCCACTTGCAGGGCCGCTTCCTCTCCGGTTGTTCCTGAGACATCTCTGCTCAGGGCCCCTAATCTTCTTGCTCTCCCTGGGACTCAGACTCCTTCTGCTGGCCGTCATCTATATCATTGGGTCCCAATGTGAGTGCCCCGGCAATGGGCAGAGGAAGAGAAGAGAGAATAATGGGGGTCAGCAGGGGGGCAGTGAGGCGGTGGGTGCTGGTGGAAACCATGTCAGGAGCAATGGTGGGCATAGTGTTTGGGGACAGGAATTCGGCTCATGACAATGTCGGTGCTATCTACAACCAAGAGGGCCATACAGGGGCACTGGTGCACTGAGGGTGGCATTGGGGTGACTGATGAGAACAGCGGAGCGGCATAATGAAGATGGTGATGGATCTGTGTTTAGGATGGCTGCCGGCCCTGAAAACCGTTAGTTGGATTATATAGTCCATTTTCTTCACCTCCGTAAGCTCTCATTTAAGCCTGTGTAAGATTAGATAATAACTGTCCCACGGAGTCCCTGTGAGGACCAGATGAGACCACGTGCATAAAGTGCCCTGCTCAGTGCTGCCACACAGGGGACCCAATTCATCTTAGCTCTGATGTCCCACTCACCTGATCAGATTCCAAGTTCCAGAGGGACCTGGTGACCCTGAGTGCGGCTTTCAGCAACTTCACGTCCAGCACTGCGGCTGAGGTCCAGGCACTGACCTCCCAGGGTGAGGCTGGATTGGACAGGGTTCTGGGCAGGGATGAGGCCACATGGGGATGGGGGAAGCTGATTTCTGAGTCCCCACATCCTCAGAGAGCAGCTTACAGGAAATGATGACATCTCTGAGAGCTGATATGGAGGGTCACAGGCAGGACCTGCAAGCAGGTGAGAGTCCCTTCCAGAGTGCGTGGGAGGGTGGGGCTGGGCTCTCAGCCAAAGACAGGGGTGGGAGCAGCCTCCCGGTGCTGAGCCGCCCTCCCCTAAAGCCCACAGCTTGAATGACAAGGTGCTTTCTCTGGAGAGCAGGCTGGAGAAACAGGAGCAGGCGTTCAAAGCAGGTCAGGTGCTGCTCCCCTGCACCTGGGCATGTGGCGTGTGGGAGGGCAGGGCGGCTTCTAGGCTGGGCCCAGTGCAGGGCATCTGACAGCAGCAGCTCACTGAACAGAAGCCACACTAGATCCTGTCCCACCGCCCATGTGTGTTTATCCTAGTTTATTCCAATATGCTCCTGCAAGTCCAGCAGCTGAAGGAGGACCTGAAGTCTCTGAGTAGCCGGATTGTTTTTCTTACACGCAATGGTAAGGAATATATGGGGAGTGGAGGCTCCACTTTTCCCATGGTAGCAGCTCACTCTTTCACTCTCCCTCTACCTCCTCAGGCTTCAAAATCTCCTGGTGCCCTGTTAATTGGGTGGAGCATGAGGGCAGCTGCTACTGGTTCTCTCGCTCTAGGAAGACCTGGTCTGAGGCGGAGAAGTACTGCCAGCTAAAGATGTCACACCTGGTGGTCATCAACTCCAGGGAGGAGCAGGTGAGGGTCTCTAGTGCCCCATTTCCAAAACATGTCTCATTTAGGACAATGGTTCTCAACCATGGCTGCAATGGGAAACCACCAAGTAGCTTTAGAAAATGCTGCCTTCTGGGGCCGGCAGGTGGAGTGGTGGTTAAGGAGGCTGTACTCCCACATGGCTCACTGTGGTTCAAGTCCCAGACCTAGCTTCTCTCTCTCTCTCTCTCTCTCTCTCACATCAACTTAAAAAAAAAAAAAAAAAAGAAGAAGAAGAAGAAAATGCTGTCATCTGAGCCAACCCTCAGACATTTAAAAGCCTGGGCGTTGGGATAACCATTTCAAAACTCCTCAACTGATTCGGTCAACAGCTAACGGTTAGAATTGTTAGCAAGAGGAGTTGGCTGGCTGGGGTTGGAGAAAAATCACCCTTACCCTTCTGTCACCCCAGAATTTTGTACAGGAACATACAGGCTCTTCATACGTCTGGATAGGCCTCAATGACTCTGAAGGAATTTGGAAATGGGTGGATGGGACAGACTATGAGACCAACTTCAAGTGAGTGTGCCCTGGCTTTCTGTGCCCCGTGTCCTTTTTCTGCTCCCCCAGCCCCTCCTTTTCCAACTTGCGTTCTGTTCCATCTACCTTTCCAAACTGACTGTTGTCCTCTCCCCACAGGAACTGGGAGCCAGGTCAACCAGATGACTGGCATGGGCATGGGCTGGGTGGAGGTGAGGACTGTGCTCATCTCCGCATTCATGGCAATTGGAACGACAACGCCTGCCAGAGGCTGTACCTGTGGGTCTGTGAGGCTACCCTGGGGAAGGTCAGCTGGGAGAATCTTTGAGCTGCTTCCAGGTGGACCACTGAGCCATAAAAATAGCTTGGGCTGGGAGATTCTTTCTCAAGGTCCCAAAGAAAACCTCTCTGAAACAGGAATAAGCCCTAAAAGATTAAAAGTATTGCTACTATTTTGAATTTTTTTCTCTTAACTATAAAAAACTACATAGAGTTCTCAGGTTTTCTTTCTTCCAACTTTTATAATCAACTTTATTGAGGTCTAATTTTTACACTATAAAATGCACTCATTTAAAGAGCAGAGATGACTTTGATCAGCATACATATTTAGGTAACTACCATTGCAGTCAAGATACAGACTATTTAGGGACCAGTAGTTAGCATAATGGCTATGTCACTGGACTCCCATGTAGTCGACCGCAGTTTGAGCCCCAGACCCAGTGGCTTAAACTCACGCCGGGCGCATGTGTGTGCGTGCCCAAGATCCCGAGAGAAGAATGGAGGAGAAGGGATTGCAGCATAGCCATCCCCCTGGGGTGATTTCTCACTTTCTGTCTCTCTGTCTCTCTCTGTCTTTCTGGCAAGCACACGCGCTCTATAGCTAAAAACCTCTCCAAAGAAAAAGAAAAAAAAAAAAGATACAGAACATTTTTATTGCCCTCCCCCAGGTGTTTCTCGTGCCCCTTTGTGGTCTCACTGCCTCTGTGTCTCCAGATGAGATCTAGTGATCTGCCTTCTTTCACGCTTAATTGCTTCTGCCTATTGCAGAACTTTATATACATGAAATCACACAATATATACTTTTGGGGAGTCCTATTGTGTTTAGTGCTGCCTGATGTTTGGCCAAAAAAAAAAAAAAAGGCAGAGTGGAGAGGTTAGGCAAGGAAGGTCCTTCCACTAGACTCATGGCTAGAGTTGTCAAAAGCAGTGGCAGGAGAGTTCCCACAAGGGAGTGCCTCAAACCAGTTTGAGATGGGACAGCTTGAGATTGCAAAGAGAAAGCACTAAACGGCAAAGTGATCAGTCTGAAGCATTTACCAGAGGGACTCAGAGTGGACTGCAGTTATCCTCTAGATCTCACAATGAGAGAAGGGCGTGCTGCCAGTATGTCTGCTCAGAGGGGTTCAGGATACGGACTTCACACGAGACAGGGCCAGGGCCTGGCTTTCACTGTTTTATGCAACAACCCAAATATATTTATCACGGTCTAAAATGTTGAAAGTACCAGTGTACACTCAAGCCTCCAAGAGAAATATAGCTGGTCATCTTTGAAGAAATGTCTAGTTCAGTTATTCAACCATTTTTTAAAACTTCTTTTGAAGAGGTTTTTGCTATAGGGTGCGTGCATTCACCAGAAAGAGAGAGAGAAAGAGAGAGAGAGAAATCGAGAAATCACCCCCCCCCAGGGGGGATGGCCATGCCACAATCCCTTCTCCTCCATTCTCCTCTCAAGATCTTGGGCACGCACACACACGCACCCGGCATGAGTTTAAGCCATCAGGTACAGGACTCGAACCACAGTCCACCACATGGGAGTCCAGTGACATAGCCATTATGCCAACTGCTGGTCCCACTTATTCAACCATTTTTAAGTCTGGTTATTCATGTTTTGTTTTTGCCACTGAGCTATCAGTGTTTGAGTTTTGAGATGTTTAATTTACAAATATCTTCTCCATTCTGTAGGTTGTCTTTTTCTCTGTTAATTGCACATTATTACATTTATATAGTAAAAGGGCAATGGTACTCCAATGTGCCACAGGGTGACCATAGATAACATTCACACAATGTATATTTCATAGTACATGAAAAGAGATGTTGAATGTTCTCACAACCAAGAAATGACAGATGTTTAAGGTGATGGATGTTACCACAACTTGATCACTACTCAATGCATACTTGTATTGAAAAATCACGTTGTACCCCATAAATATGTACAATTATTACATAATAAATTTAAATTACTTCTTGACTTAAAAACTGAAGAATTAAATTCAGCTAGCCAGGCCACAGAGTGGTCAAGGCCCTTTGTGCTTCTTGGTCAGGACAAGAGAAAATGTGGGAAGACTGAGTGACCCTACACTTAGGAGAGTGCTATGTTATTGTAAAAAGGTCATTTTATTTTCACATAAATAAGAGTTCAGATATTTTCTGCCACTTAAAAGCTATGTAAACTGATGATGATCAGGAAACATAACTGTTTAAATTACCTGAAGATCCCAGAGTTGCCAAAACAGGTAAGATCTCTTATGTATTGGTTAGCAATTGCTGTGTAACTAACCTCCCCCAAAGCTAAGTGACTTACACAGTAAACATTTATTGTAGCTCATGAGTCTAGAGGTCAGCTAGGTGGTTTTCTTTTTCTTTTTTTTTGGAGAGGTTTTTGCTATAGGGCACGTACGCTCACCAGACAGACAGAGAGAGACAGAGAGACAGAAAGCGAGAAATCCCCCCCCCCCCCCAGAGTGGATGGCCACGCTGCAATCTCTTCTCCTCCATTCTCCTCTCGGGATCTTGGGCATGCACGCACACGCACCCGGCGTGAGTTTAAGCCACTGGGTCCAGGACTCGAACTGCGGTCGACTATGTGGGAGTCCAGCAACATAGCCATTATGCTAACTGCTGGTCTCCCCTGTTAGTTTTTATTTGCATTTCCCTTATGATTCGTGATGCTGAACATTTTTTCATATGCTCTTTGGCCATTTGTATCTCTTTGAGAATTGTCTATTCAGGTTAACTGCCCTTTAAAAATTTTTTTCTTTTTATTTCTGTTTCTTTCATACATTCAAGCACATTACTTAGCTTACAAGGTGAATATTCCAACATGTGTACATTTCTCACCAGTCCAGTTCACCATACTAGAAAGTGATCTTCAATAGATAATAATCCATTTCTTTTAAGTTGTTTTTGTTTTTGTTTCTGCCAAAGGGCATGTGCACTCACCATAGAGAGACTGTGAGAGGGAAAGTAGGAAATCAGCTCCTGGGGTGATGGCCACACTGCAATCCCTTGTTCTCCATTCTCCGAGGACTGGGGGCATGCGTGCACACGTGTCCAGCACAATTTTCAAGTTGCCACTCAAACCGAAATTGGCCATGTACTTTAACCACTATGCCACCTGCAGACCACAACTGTCTATTTTTTAAATGGCTATTTTTTTTATGTAAAAGCACTGTTTGAATTTTGTATATATTCTGGTTATTTATCTCTTATAAGGGTATATTTTGAAAATATTTTTCCCTCATTGTATGTGTGGTCTCTACTCTGTTGATTGTTTTCATTGTGTAAAGTATTTCTTGCTTGCTATAATCCCATTTGTCTATTTTTGGTGTCACCCTCCCTGGAAAGGTCTTACTTAAGAAGTCTTTGCTGGGGTCACCAAGTGGCACAGTGGTTAAGGTGCTGGACTCCCACATGGCTCACCATGGTTTGAGTCCCAGACCTTGTGACTTGCTTTATCACTTTCTCTTTCTCTCTGTCTCTCTCCAGTCAAATTATTAATAATAATAATATGGGACCAGCAGTTGATGTAATGGCCATGTCGCTGGACTCCCATGTAGTCAACCGTGGTTTGAGTCCCGGACCTGGTGGCTTAAACTCACACTGGGTGCATGTGCATGCGTGCACAAGATTTTGAGAGGAGAATGGAGGAGAAGGGATTGTGGCATGGCCATCCCCTGGCCATACCCCCTGGGGGTGATTTCTCACTTTCTGTCTCTCTTTCTCTGTCTTTCTGGAGAGCATACACACCTTATAGCAAAAACCTCTCCAAAATAATAATGATAATAATAACAAATAAAATAAAATAAATCATTCTTTAAAAAAGAAGAAATCTCGGGACCAGCAGTTGGTATAATGACTATGTCATTGGACTTCCATGTAGTTGACCGTGGTCTGAATCCCGCACCCGGTGGCTTAAACTCATGCCAGGCGCATGTGCGTGTGTGCCCAAGATCCCGAGAGGAGAATGAAGGAGAAGGGACTGTGGTGTGGCCATCCCCCTGGGGGGCGATTTCTCACTTTCCCTCTCTCTATCCTCTTCAGAGAATGCAAAGACCCTATGGCAAAATCCTTGAAAAAAAGAAAAGGCCCTCAGTTAATAACAAATATTCACATGTATCTTCACACACACAAATATACAAGCAAGTCCACTGACTCCCCATGCTTCAACTACTGTAATGGTATTTCCAAATATTTGGTGCAATCCAAGGGTGACTGAATAGTAACTTCATTGCTATGTCTTTTGATTAGTTGACTTAAATCTTCATTTAAAAATGAATCCCCAAGGGGCCAGCTGGTGGTGTGGTGGTTGGGACAGCTAGATCCCACATGGTTGACTACACAGTTCAAGTCCCAGACCAGTGGCTTGAAAAACATACCCAACACATGTGCGTGTGTGCCCCCACTCAATACAGAGAAGGTATGGCAGGGGGTGCTTTCTTTCTCTTTCAAGTGCACATGCCCTATAGTAATACAAACAAACAAATGAACAACAACAACAAAAAAAAGAATCCTCTAGTAAAACTTTGTTCTTCTCTGGGGAATTTGAAGATTCAGCTGGAGGACTGAATGTCATTGCTGCCATGCCATAAGTCTCGAAAAGCTCCGCAGCAGATCTGCTCAACTGTCGCTGGAGTGCTTCAAAGCCTTCAGAAGGTGCTCCAGCATCAGGACAGCGGCGACTCTCTGCACTGTGAGATGATACTGTCGCCACAGGGCATGCAGTCCCCCCAGGGCAGTGTTCACCCAGCTCAGAGAGGAAAACTCCACTTCCCTGGGTTTCATTGAAAAGTAATAGATCCGCTTTCACGGAATCTACGTTCTGGTAGACGCTAACATGCTCTATTTTAACCTGGAAGAACATGCAGTGCAAGGGTACAAAGGTGTTTGATCAAGCAAGGACTCCTTGTGGAGCATTTTTGCTTTCTGAGTTTAGTTCGCATGGCCTCGAGGTACTGGAATACAATCTCCACACCTCCCTGGTAGCACCTGCATGTAATTTAAACAGTGCTTTGTAGAGATGTGTATGACATGTCACTGGATCAATATTCACAACATCACCTGGCCAGAAAGACTATGAAAAGTAACCTGGGGGACCAGCAGATGGCGTAATGGTTATGTCGCTGGACTCCCACGTAGCTGAC